AGTTAAACATAGTATTACCTATTTTTATAAAAACACAACTTTGAAAGCATTGTAGGATTTGAGAGCCGTTAATAGTTAATACCACTATGGATATCCTTTACATCTTGTCATCTTCAGAGTAGTTGCCTCTGCTTTTAGGGTTGATACTAACAAGCATACCAAATTCAAATAAAATCAGCCAAGGCCAACCCATAGTCTTATGATTCAGATTCAGTTAAGATCAGTCATAGTAAGACAATGTAAGTAATACAGGATTTCAGTTTAAGTTAATAGGAAAGTAAGGATAGTTACCGTGGTATAACCTGCTATTTTGGGGTCAGATGTCTGTGCCCTCAAATCTGACATGAGTGGACAGACCAGAACAAATTAAATTCAAACTAAATATGGTGATAAGACTACTGTGTCTTTTAAACCCTTATACACTATTAACAATGACCTCTGCCTTTTTTATAGTATTTCAGAGCTGTCTATACTAAAGACTATAGCTTACCGTCTCTGCCTCATGTCTGCTACTCCATTTTTCTGATGTAATTTGTCCACCTTATTCCCTCATTCCACTGTCTGCCCCGTTCATTGAGGCCTCTCTGCCACTGTTGCTGGAATCCTGGTATCCCTTCCTCTCTTTCTCTGTAATGTCCTTCAGCACTCTCTGTAGGGTTGGATTGGTGGCCACGAACTCCCACAGTTCCTCCTTATCTTGGAAGCATCTTATTTCTCCATTAATTTTGAGAGAGAGTTTTGACGGGTATATGAGCTTTGGTTGCATATTATTTTCTTTCAGGACTTGGAATATTTCTCCCCATTCCCTTCTTGACTTAAGAGTTTGTGTTGATAAGTCTGTTGTTATTTTGATAATTTTCCCATTGTAGGTAATCTGCTTCTTTTCTCTGGCTGCTTTTAATATTCTGTTCTTTTGGTGGATTTCTGGAATCTTGATTATTATATGTCTAGGCGTAGATCTGTTTTGGTTGTAGGTAGCTGGTGTTCTGTATGTGTCTTTTATCTGGATATCATTTCTTTTTGCTATACATGGGAAATTTTGCTTTAATATATCTGTGAATATTCTTTGTATTTCATTTTTGGTTGCTCCTGCTTCCTCACTCACATTCTTTATTCTTAAGTTATGTATCTTTTTGTCAAGAGAATACACATTCTTCTCAGCTGTGCATGAGAAAGTCTCCAAAATAGACCATATATTAGCCAATGGATAATTCTTAAGTAATTGTAAAGGGTTTGAAATTATCTTATGCATATTGCCTGATCATAGTGCACTGAAATTAGAAATTAATGGCAAAAGAAACTGTAAAACTTACATAAACATATGGAAATTAAATAAAAACCTCTAGAACAACCAATAGGTTACAGTTGAAAATGAAGAAATTAAACAACACCTACAATTCAATGGAAATGGTGATAAAACATTCTGAAACCTGTGGGATGCAATGAAATCAGTCCTAAGAGGGAAATACATAGCAATAAATTGTCACATCAAAAAATGGAATGAGCACAACTAAACAACCTAATGCTATACCTCAAGCTTCTAGAAAAATAAGAGCAAGTAAAACTCAAAGCTCATAAAAGAGAGGAAATTACAAAGATCAGAGGAGAAACTAATGCAATTGAGACAAAAAAATACAAAGAATTAATGAATCAAAGAGCTGGATTTTTGAGAGAATAAACAAAATTGATAAACCTCTAGCAAATCTTATCAAGAAAAAGAGAAAAGTCAAATGCATGCAATAGACTGACAAGGGAGAAATTATTACAGATCCCATGAAATTTAAAAAGATCACGAACCCCTACTTTGAAAATCTTTACTCACAGAGGGTGGAAAACAGAGCAAATGTACAGATTTTTAGAAATGTATGAATTACCAAAGCTGACTCAAGAAGATATAATAATTTTGAATAATGCAATATCTACTGAAATTGAAAATGTGATTTCAAAATATCTCACCAACAAAGAAAAGTCTAGGTCCTGATGAATTGTCAGATGTATTCTATAAGACATATAGAGAAGATTTAATGCCAATACTACTCAAACTCTTCAATGAAACTGAAAGGGAAGCAATTCTCCTTAACTTGTTCCCAGAGGCAAGTATTACTCTGATACGAAAACCAGAGAAAGATCTAACCAAAGAGGAGAATTATAGGCCAATCTCACTAATGAACACAGATGCAAAGATTCTCAATAAAGCACTGACAAATAGAATGCAACAAATCATCAACATTATACATCATGACTAAGTGAGATTTATCCCAGGAATGCAGGGATAGTTTAACATACGAATGCAATACACCACATCAACAGAGCCAAAGACAAAAATCACATGATTACATCAATGGATGCAGAAAAAGCTTTTTTTTAAAAAATTGGTACCAGGGATTGAACTCACAACTGCTTGCTTGCAAGGCAGGTCCTTATGCTGCTGAGCTAAATCCACAGTCCCCAGAAAAAGCTTTTAATAAAGTCTGACACAAGCATAATAAAAACCCTATAGAAACTTGGAATAGATGGTATCTACCTCAGTCTGATAAAGACTGTTTTTCACAAATCAACAGCTAACATTATACTAAATCGACAAAAACTGAAAGCTTTCACTCTAAAATCAGGAAGAAGACATAGATGTCCACTATCACCACTTCTGTTCAATATAGTTCTAGAATCATTAGTCAGGGCTATCAGACAAGAGAGAGAAATAAAGGAATAAAGATAGGAAAAGAAGAAATCAAATTATCATTATTTGCAGATGACATGATACTCTACATAGAAGATCCCAAAAACTCCATCAAAAGAATATTAGAGTTAATAAGTGAATTCAGCAGAGTAGCTGGATACAAAGTCAACACTCAAAAATCAACAGCATTCCTGTGCACAAACAACAAACTCACTGAGAGAGAAATTATGGAAAAAACACTTTTCACAATAGCATCTTAAAAAATGAAATACTTAGGAATCAACCTAACCAAGAATGTAAAAGACCTATATGTTGAAAATTGTACTACTATAAAAAAGGAGATTGAAGAGGATATTAGAAAATAGAAGGATATTCCTTGCTCTTGGTTAGGAAGAGCCAACACTGTGAAAATGGCCATACTCCCAAAACTTTTATACAGACTCAATGCAACCCTAATCAAAATACCTTTAACATACCTTACAAATCTAGAGAAAACATTCCTAGAATTCATTAGGAAACAGAAGATGCCTAGAACAGCAAAGATAATAAAAGCAAGGCAGGAGGTATCTCAATCACAGACTTGAAATCCTATTACAAAGCCAGAGATAAAATCAGCATGGTATTGGCAAAAAACCAGACCTGAGGATCAGTGGAACAGATTAGAAGATGTAAACACAAATACAAAGACACTCAGCCACCTTATATTTGACAAAGGGGCTAAACATGTTCACTGGAAGGACAGCCTCTTTAATAAATGGTGTTGGAACAATTGGCTTTCCACATGCCGAAGACTGAAACTAGATCCATGCCTATCACCATGCACAAAACTAAAGTCTAAATGGATCAAAGACCTAAATATTAAAACAGCAACACTAAATCTACTGGAAGACAAGATAGGTAGAAATCTTGACGACACAGAGGTAGGCAGAGTTCATGAACAAAACGCAAACTGCATGGCAAGCACTTCAAAAAATCAACAATTGAAATCTCATCTTACTAGAAAGATTTGAATTTCAAAAGAAATCACCAACTGAGTGAAAAGAAAACCCACACACAGACTGGGAAAGAGTTCTAGCCAGCAGCCCCTCAGACAACGGACTTATATCCAGAACATATAAAGTATTTAAAAAATCGAGCCCCCAAATTCAAAACCCACTCCAAAAATAGGCATCTGAGATGAACACGTACTTCTCAGATAAGAAATACAAATGGCAAATGAATACATGAAGAAAAATGTTCACCATCACTGGTCATTGAAGAAATGCAAATTAAAATAACATTGAGATTCCATCTCACTCCAGAAAGAATGGGTGCCATCAAAAAAATCAACAGATAACAAATGTTCATGGGACTGTGGGTAAAAGGAACACTTCTCTACTGTTGCTGAGAGTGTAAACTCATATAGCCACTGTGGAAATCAGTATGGAGATTCCTGAAAAAAAGTAGAATTGGAAGTCCCATTCAATCCAGCTATTCCACTCCTGGGTATTTTCCCAGAAAAACTGAAAATGTTATGTAAAGCAATATATGTGCACCCATGTTTAGAGCAGCACAATTTGTAATAGCTAAATGTTGGAAACAACTGAAATGTCCATCAACTGTAGAATGGGTGAAAAAGATGTGGTATTTTTACACAATAGAATATCATTCAGCTATAAAAAGGAAGATCTTGAGGCTTTTATAGGTAAATTGAGTCAACTTGAGACTATACTCACAGGTGAAATCAGACTCATAAATACTGTAGTCTCTCTAGTGCAAAAAATAAATAATAACAAAAACTGAAAGAGTAATAAGATCTAAAATGTACAATAGATTTTGTAATAATGAAAGGTAAAGAAAGTACTCAAAAAGAAAGAACAAATTGCAGGTATATACATATAACTGTATGTATGTTTCAATGTGCAACATAGATGGCCATACTACTAATACTCTGTTAGCTTGTCAAAATGAATAATTTGTGCTGTCATCATTTGCCTGTCATTTTCATGCTTAGATTTTGTAATTTGAGCAAGCACTTCTAAGTTGACAATATGTAATATATTAACTAGTGTTGATTTCTTACTGTTATTTTGTTGAACTTCTGTATTATTTCTACCATTTTTTCTGGTTTGTTTTTTAAAAATAAATTAAAAAACAATAATTTCTAGAGTTAATTGTATACTGCTAGTTTACAGAGTTCAACTAATTATTGAGGAACTGATAAAGACTTTATTAATATAATAGTAATTTACAGATACTATTCTCACTGATACCTATAAATGATCAACTCCAAAGAAGATAAATTAACTAGAAATATTACATTTACAAAAATTCTTGCTCTTACCAGGGCGATTCTTCAATTGTTTCTTGAATTCACTCTTTAATTTATCTGTTTCAGCTGCCTCTATGAACTGATCTGTATCAGTTTCTATACAAATAAACATAACACTGTATGTAACTATTTATACACTAGATTATATACGTAGTATAAGTTAATACATTTGTGCTTATAGAATAAGAGTTAGGGTAAAATGTCTGTATTGGAGAATAACAAAATCTTAGAATGGAAAAGCTATTAACATTTATATAAGTTATATTATATTGATGCTTAGATATATTTACTTAATTGAATAAGAGCATATATTTAGGGGAAACCAAAACTAAAAAGTAACTAGATGTTATATAACTCTTATCTGGTGATTTTCTATAGAAAAGTTCAATGCAAATTAAAATCATCCCAGGTACATGATAATAATATAACTTTCAAATTTATATTAAAAACACAATCATTATATAGTATGTGCCTGCTGAGCTAGAATAACTTTTTCTCCACAGTCAAGCTTCAAATTCTCATCTTATTAGTTACAGCAATATACTACAATGCAGAAATTCTTCTGTTCATCCAGGAATGTTTCCATTCCCATTTAGGTTACAAACCTGTAAATCACGTAGGCATCAGTGATGAAAAGAATAAATCTTTGTTGGACTGAGAAAAAGTGTGTTCTGAGGTCCATTAGCATGTAGCCAAAGTAAATGGCTACATTTGCAAAGTTACTACACTTGTGATTGGATCCTTTTCTATTTCTGTCATTATGTAATTTTATATTTTTGTTAAAATTATAATCCTTAATCAGGTTTAATAACAGAAAAACCAAGTTGCGTGTAACTCTATGATGTTCTCACAATGGCAAAATCACGTGCATTTCTCAGACAGCATCCCAGCTGTTAAGTGACACATGACTATATTTATAGTGTTTATTGTTTTAAATTCATTCCAATTTCTGATTCTATTCATTTGTTGTTGTGGATTATTACCTTATCATTTTCTTACTTCAGTATATCATTATTTCCAACCATCACCTTTGGTGTTATAGAATGTATTGCATAACTGTATTTTAAAGACCCAATAATATAACTATATAACTATTACTGCATATAATTGATTTTAACATCAAGTAAGATAAAGATATAGAATATGTTTTTATATGGTCTTTCAGAATTATACACTTCCTTCAACCCGTGCTCAGGTTTTGGGACTCAAACAATTAGGAGAAGTAAAATGTTCAGTTTGTTGAAAAGCAATTCTGATAGCAATGAATTCTGAAAACTTTGATTCATTTAGATATAACTTTACTTTCTCTTTTTAGAAATGTAACTTTGCTGTACAAATACAAATCTTGCTTGACAGGTTTTTTTCCAAGCACTTTGAATATAATATTGCACTGTCTCCTGGTCTTAATAGTTTCTAATGATAAATCAGTTCTAATCAGGGTTAATTTTAGGTGTCAGCAAGGATTAAAGGATACCTAGAGAACTGGTACAGTATTATTTCTAGGTGTGCTCATGAGGGTGTTTACAGAAGAGATCAGTGTGCCAGTGTGCATGGATTATGTAGGAGGAGGGCTACCCTGGATGCAGGAAACACCATCAAATTGGCTTACATCCTGAATGCAACAAGAATAGAGCAGAGTTGGAATAGGTTCTCTCTTCTCTTTCTTTTAGAACTGGGATACAATTGTCTACTCTGGGACTTTAGAACTTCACTCTAAGGCCTATGAACTTGGATTGAGTCATTCTATCAAATTCCCAGGACCTCTGTCTTACGGACAGCCTACTGTGGGATTTCTCAGTATACAAACTGATTCTCCTACTACATTCCCTTCACATAACTATATCTAATCTGTAGCTAATATATACTATTAGTCCTTTTTTTTTGAGAATCATGACAAATATTCTGGGTCCCAAATACATGATACATTGTGTTTTTATCTTTGTTGCTTTTAAGATTTTCTCTGCATTTGTGTCATATTTTTTACTACAATGGATTTGGTAGGGGACATTTTTGTGTTTATTATCTTTGATTTTATTAGTCTTTGATGTATATATTTGTATATGTCATTAAATATTGTCAAAGTTTTCAGTTATTATTTCTCCAAATGTCTTTTCTGTTCATTCTTTCTCTGCCCTCTGTAGCATTCCTAACATGTTGTCTACTGATTCTTTTTCTGATATTTTAAATATACCTGAGTCCTCTAGCAACTTTTTTCTCTTTTATACTCTTTTTTCTCTTTTTATACTCTTCAACACTATTTTTCCAGGTGGACCTTAGTAAAATATTTCCTCTATTTACGTAGATATTTTCTATTTGATTAAATCCTTTTTTTCTTTTGGTACCGGGGATCAAACTCATGACCTCGTGCTTTCCAGGCAGGCGCTTGTGCCACTGAGCTATATTCCTAGTCCCCCAGATCTTTCATAATACCATTCATCTCTTTTCTAAGAATTGCTTCCTTCAGTTTTCAACATACTTAGAGAAACTGCTTTGTAGTTATTTGTCTCCTGAGTCCAACATCTGGGGTACTCACAAGACTTCTGCTGACCACTTCTGCTGTACAGGAGTCCTACAGTACTGTTTCTTTGAATGATTTATATACTGATGCTAAAAACTGTGCTTGTTATGTATATAATATTGCAACTCTGGATACCGATTTTCTCCTCTTCTTCTGGAACTATGTTGTTGATTTGCCTTTTTATTTGTGAATGATTTGCCTGGATTTATTTTACTTATGTCTTTTCCCTTGCAGTATGAAGCCTCTAATGCTGCTCTTTTCTATTACAATAACTAAAGCATGCACACTATCACTTTTTTTTTTTGAGATGAGTCTTGCTATGCAGCCCAGGCTGGTCTTGAACTAATGATCATCCTGGCTCAGCCTCTCTAGTAGCTGAGATTACAGGTATGCACCACGATCCAAAATGCAAGTACTATTGGATGGTAACAGCTTTAGAGGGTTTCTCTTTCAGTGTCTCCTTCCCTTATTTCTCTATTAAACTGTCTGCACCATTAGTATCACACCAGAGATAAATGAATGGTTTGCCTAACATTCGTACTCCAAGACTAAAGATAGCAGTATGAACTATGCCAACACAACTAAAGAACTCTCTGCATTTGCAATGCTTTTACTATGTCTGACAATTAAAAGTACACAAGGAATTTATAGCTAATGAAATAACTTATTTTTGACTTTCCTACACCTATCAGTTATCCATTCTGATTTTGTAGAATTAAAGCAACTAAAATAGCAACATATATATAGTTGCCAAGTAATATTCTAAATTCACCATATTGTTAGTTTTTGTACTGCTTACTAAATGACTGAATTCCAAAAGTAGTGATATCAAGCTAATTTTCTAATAAATAACGGCATACAATTATAGATAGGGACTCATGAGTCCCTTTGCCTATTTCATAACTTAGTAATGTTGTAATTAAAGACACGTACTTTATTAAACTCAAAGAAGGTAAGCAAATAAGAAATATTTTTTAAAAATGGATTTTAAATAAATAATTAAACTTAAATGGATTTTAAATAAATAATTAAACTTAAAATTTTTTTTCTTACCAGGAGAAAAGAATGAGGGTGTCTTAAATTCATCCTTCTGTAAGTGTTGTCCAAAAGCATCTTTTAAGAGTTCTAAATCGGTTTCTGCAGAAATTAACAAATGTAAAAAAAACCAGTAAGGTAATACTAACAGGAATGAGATGTGTATGCATGTGTGTGTGTGTGTGTGTGTGTGTGTGTGTGTGTGTGTGTGTGTTTGAAAAAGAGCGCAAAGCAGAAAGAGACAGAGACACAAAGAGACTGAGAAAGAGAATTAACTTGTTTTATTGATGAATAAGATGTTGTGATGAATTTTATGGATTGCCAAATCACTAAGCATTAGAACTGGAAGATCTGTTGCCAATTATTTATGCCTCAGCACATTAAGCCTTAAAATGTTTAGCATGAAAATATTTGGCATTTTGAGCAAGACCTCACACATCTAGGTAATAAACTGTTACATAAACTGCTGTCTCATAATTCTTTTCCGGGTGCTATTGACATCCAATATTATCTCTTATGCAAAATGAAAATAATCTATAGTTTATGATTATAAATATTGTAGGGATAAAGCTGGTAAGGCAAAACATATCCTCCTCTTTAAGGCAGTTCGAGATCATGGACTCTATAGTCACAGAAAATTACTGTGAAGCAGAAATTCTTTGATTCACTCGGGAATATTTTAATGCCATTTTTGATATAATTTAACTTAAAGTGAGTGGACATCAATGACAGAAAATAGTAAGATATTCTGTGCACTCAGAACAAAAGCAATCTCTAGGGTTTCTCTAGCATTTATACCTTATAGCTTTGAGGGCTATGTGGTTAAGTTTGCAAACGTATCAGGAGATTGGGTCTTGTTCAATTTGAATTTCTTTGTTTTTTAAAATTTTGTTGTATTTAGAAACTACGTACTCAGTCCAATAAAAAGTTAGCAAGAGAAAATTTATATTGAAATGCAGTAATGAGAATTGATGATCTAACATCAATTACTAGGACTGAAGATTTATAGGTGAAATCTAGTTCTGGCAGTGTAGATACCTGCTAGAAACCTGTGAGAGATACCACAAGTTGAAGTCTGCTGGTCTGCCTACCTTCCTTCCTCTTTTTCTTCCTTCTTTTCTTCTTTCATTTCATTTTCCCTCCCCTTCTCTCTTTTTGTTTCCCCCACACTCTCTCACCCCCTCCCTCGCTTGAATCCATGAGTAAATATTAGAGACTGCTCTGTAACCTTGACATTGGAAGCAAAACTGCATCAGCACTGCAACATGCAGAGGCAGGGACTAGTTGAGGTTTCGTTACTGAAATGACATGCATCAGACTGGAAAAAACAAGTTTTCAACATGTAAACAACAGTATTTTGTGAAATAGGATCTTAGCAATGTAAAACAGGGTAACATCAGGCACATCTTAGTTTCACTGGTTCTATGTTCAGTTAGGACATGTAAGAAGGAACATGTAAGAAGCAGAAAATGAGAGGACCATCTGAGAGAGAGAGCACACTAAGCAACAGGTTAAGCACAGTGTTTGTGCTGGAGAAATGTGTCTGATGAGTCACAGTTTTCCTACTTAACAGTATCTTCTCTTGGCATTAGTTCTTTCTTTACAGAAATTGCTCTCCAGATACAGTTCCACTGATCTATTTAGAAAGTAACATGTTATATAATTTGCCAATTTAAAGTGTCTAATTTCATGATTTTTAACATATTAATGGGGTTGTGTTATAACCTTATTAAACTTTAGAACCTACATTTATACAAATTAAATTCTAGTGAAATATGGAAATGTTACTCATGTAGTTAAATTTCATTGTTCTCATTCATGCTATTGTTATACATATATTTATAAATATTAAAGACATTGCTATAAATTGTTATAGTTTTTATGTTTATATAAGCCTATGCCTTTCAATCAAAATGAGACAAGAAAGAATTTTAAAGTATATGTTGATAATGTTTATAATAAAATCTTGTTATTTATAAGGAAAAAAGAGACTTGTTTTTGGGTATCAAGTCGCATTTCTTATCATTTTCTTACCCCAGTACTTCACGGTTCCCACCTGTCTCCTTTGTGCTACCTTAGTGAAATATACTATGTCATAGACCTAGCAACACAATTATATACACACTTTTATACAATTGCCTTTTAAGACAATCTGTACAGTCACTTGTAATCATGCAATTCTTCTTAGTTCTCTTCTTTTGTAGTGGATTCAGGTTACTGTCAGTGATCACTTGCATTCAGACCAAAGAAGCTTCTTTAGTATTTTTCATAAAGTTAATCTTACAGTAATGAATTCACTCAGTGTTTATTGATTTATCTCCCTAAAAATGTCTGTTTCTCAGGGTTTTTGAAAGACTGCTTTGCAGAATAAAATATGCATATTTACAGCTTTTCAGCACCTCGAGTGTGTCTATTGCTTCTAAGACTCCAATGTTTTTGATGGTAAGTCAGTTATCAATCTTACTGGCTTCTCAGTAAATGGCAGAAATGTCAGATGGGATTCCAGTGTCTTTCTATCAACTGACAATTCTGCTCACATCTTACGAAAGTTCCAGTTGCCCTTACACATTACCTTGATGTGAGTCTGTCATTCTTATTTATCCTCACCGCAGTGGGCCATCAGGTATCTACTTCTATCTCTTTGTGACTTTAGCCTCGATTTTTCTATCACTAAGAGTATTTTCAAATGGCTATTGCCCATTTAGATACCTTTAACAAAATTTTTTGCCCATTTTCCTATTAGGTTTTCAATTTTTTTGCTTATTGTTTTGTTAGGAATTTTTTAAATATTTTGGATGAAAGCATTCTCTTTAGCATTTATGCTGCAAAATAACATCCTTATCTGGAATCCTGTTTTTAAAATCTCTTAATAGAATCTTTTGATGAATATAAATTTTTAATGTAAAAATTTGAAAACACATTTACAGTTAGTATTTATTGCATTCTTTACCTACTCCAAAGACAGTAAGATATTTTCTTATATTATTTGTATTAGTTTACAATATGCATACAAATAAGCTGTTTTGAAAAGAACACTCTTTAATATTGATTATATACTTTCTTCTTTGTCATTGTTACACACAAGCCTGTTTCTCACACTAATTTGTTCCATTCACTATTTATTCATTTGTCTAATGTACTAATGTCATATGAGTTCAGTAATTTTATCTTTATAATATAACCTGATATGCAATACTTTTTCTTCAAATTTGTACTCTATGAATTTCTTTACAGATTTTAGCATTCACTTATCAATTTTTAGGAAAAGCATTGCTGGGACCTATTTTTTTTTTTTTTTTTTGCTTTGTTTTGATTTGTTTTTGGTGGTGGTAGCCAAATGTTCTACCACTGATCTGCATCTTCATTCCTAGAATCTTGACTGTAACTGCTTTGAGTCTATAAATAAACTTTAAAAAATGAGTTACTTAAAATATTGAATCTTTTAATCTATAGAACTGGAATATGATTCTGTTCCCCTCTTTCTGTTACCATATGTATGAATACATGTTAAATACATTTATTGTGGGGAAACTGTTACATATACATTTCACATTTTGATATTTTTATTCTCTTTCCCTCATATCCATCCTTTCCAGTCCCCAGAGCCATTTCATATCCTTTCCAAAAATGAAATCTTTGACTCACTGGTCCTTTGTATATCTGAGTCTCAATTTCATTAATTTCTGTTCTGGATTACATGCTTTCCTTCTATTTCAGATTTGCATTGTTCTTGTTTTTCCAGTACCTTGAGATGTATAATTAAGTAATCGGGATTGCTCTACTATTATGTGTACATTTATAGTTATAAACTTTCCGCTAAGAACTGCTTTCATTGTCTCCCACGGGGCTTGGTACATTGTGCTTCATTGTCATTGGATTTTAGCAACATTTTTATTTTCACTGATTTACCTTGTAGTCAACTGATTATTCAATAATATATTATTAATTTCTATGTATTTGTGTAGCTTCTGTGGCTTCTTTTGATGTTTATTTTTAGCTTTATTCTGCTATAATAGGATAGTCTGCTATAATAGGATACAGGATTATTTAAATTTTTTGTATTTATTTAAGCATGTTTTATGGCCTAAAATATGATCTATTTTGGAAAAAGTTCCATGTGCTGATGAGAAAAATATGTATATCCTGTTGTTGGGTGGGAGACTTTAGTTTTTTTATTAAGTTCATTTGTTCAATGGTTAGGTTTAACTCTGATGTTTCTTAAAATTTTGGGGGGGTCTCTTTGACGTAATTCTGAGAATGGTGTATTGAGGTCTTCCTCTATTATTGTGTTGGTGCCTACTTTGTCCTTTTAAGTTACTATTTCATTACATTGGGTGCACTGAAATTTGGTGCACAATTACTTAAAATTATTTTCTCTTTTGTCGAATTGTTCCCTTTAGAGGATATAGTACCCATCATTTCTTTTGGATTGAAGTCTACTATGCATGAAAATAAGACAACTACTCCTGCTTGTGGGTTCCAGTTGAACTAAGCATAATTTTTCCATTCTTTCACTTTCAGTCTGTGTATATCTTTCTGATGAGAGGTGTCTCCTGTAGCAAATATATGATTGAATTTTGTTTTAAATCATATCTGCCAGTATGTGTTTTTATTTTTTATTTAAGATTAAAAAGACACAGAAAAGAAAAACAGAAAGCAATACAAACAACAACAAGAAACCAAATACAGAACAGTATAGGTTTACAAAACAAGATGACAGGAATTTGACAATGGTTATAATTATTGCATATTGTTACCTTCAGGAGGGTTGCTTAGATTAACGGATATAGACATGTAAAACTGATCTAAACATATGAGTATTAACTATGTGTTCCTGGTGCACAGCATATTGTTAGATTTTGTTTCTTAATCCACTCTGCCAGTCTGTTTCTTTTTATTGGTGAATTGATACTATTTACATTGATGGACATAACTGGAAAGTACTGACTTATCACTGTCATATCACTTCTGTTGTTGGTTTTCTACTTGTTTAATCATTTGCCCTGCTTAGTGGTTTCCTTTTGTTGTTATTCTTGGGATTGTAGTTATTTTTGTCTCTTCTAGAGTATCTTTCAGTACTCTTTGTAGTGTTGGTTTGGTGG